GCAGCATCTGTGGAGAGGGAACACAGAGTTAATGTTTCGAATCCATTGACCCTTTGCTTCCACGAGCTTGTCTACTACATGCGGCCTGAGCAGTGTAACCCATACCTCTGTCTAAGTCATTTTGATCTGTACATCCTTTGCTTACTATGATCTGTCTGTACTGCTTGTAAACAAAGCTTTTCACTGTATTTCAGTACTCGTGACAATTAGTCAATCAATCAATCTTTGATTCTCATGCTGTTAGCCCATCAATAGATTCAACATCTCGATATCTTCAGCTCTCTTAGGTGGGCAGAGGGTAGGATCTCCCAAAAAGTTCACCTGTCGCTGAGAGAAGAATTTCCTCTTCACCATTTGAAATGGGAGATCCTTCATTTTAAAACCTCTCCCCCTCGTTCTTGATTCCCTGATGAGGGGAATCACCCTCTCTGCGTCCATACTGTCGAGCCCACTGAGAATTTCACTAAGGCCACCTCTCGGTCTTCTAAGCTCCGACGAGTTTAGAAGGCCCAACCTGCCTGACCTTTCTTCGTCAGACGGCAATTTCATCCACAGAATCGACCGACTGAAGCTGCAGTGAACTGTCTCTGATGCAAGCGTGTTGGAATGGAGGCTTTAGCCCTGGCTGTTTTGAGGAATGAGTTCAAGGCTGAAACATGAGCTTATCTGAACGCCTTCAGTACAGGAGAAACTAGGCCATGACTGATGAGTGCTGGGAGGGAGCCAAGTGCCAACATCACATCTGCCCCTGTTGGCAGAATGACTGCTGATTTCCTCTAGGCACACCTCAATGCCCACAGCATCACCCACGTCTGCGTTAGCAGATGTACTGTTTCCCATCCACTTTTTAAATCGTGGGACCGTGTATTGGAAAATTTATTCGCCTAAAGATTCCTCTATTGTTCCGTTTCTGCAGCTTACCACAACTGAGAATATGTTTAACCTCGGTGGTTTTCAGAAATGAAGCACATACTGCAAGTGCAGTGGTGCGTGTCAGACTGACTGACTGTGTACAGGAAGCATCAGTCAGTGTTTTCCAGAGGCTAGGAACTTGCAGTGAGTTACCCATGACCTGACTCCCCACAAGGACATTATTGAAACGGATGGGGGTTTTTTTTCTGTTAATGCCAGTCGATCGTAGTTACTTGATCGTCAATTGGATAAATTGTTATTGATTTCAAATTTGACAAGGCACACGGCAAGTGAGTGATACAATGCTCTCCGTTTTCCTGGATGGGTGAAGCTCCAATAATACTCGAGGACCTCAAAATCATCCAGGATGTATTGGCACCCCATCTACCACCTCCAGTGGCAGCAACGTGTGCACTATCCACACAGTTCACTGCGGCAACTCGCTGAGGCTGTTCCAACAAGATAATGGGTCTCTGGCTCGTTGGAATACCTCCACCATCAGGTTCCTATCTGGGCTTGGAAATATACCACCACTACTTCATTGAAATTGGCTGCAGATGCTGGAACCACCTCCCTAAGAGCACCATCGGAATGGGTCACCAGTCGCAGTGGTGAGAATGTGGCTCACCAGCTCATTCTCAATGGTAACTGGGGATGTTGCTTCAGGAACTGGATGGAGGCATCAATGAGTGGTTTCACTGATCCCATCCTCCTCCAGTGTAGGTCTCTTTCAGGGGAAGAATGGATGGCAACGCTGTCTTTGACCTTACCTCCATTCACACTTCCTCCAACTCCAGCCTGTCTCCGGCCAGCTGAGTTTGATGGCTTCCTGCAGGTGAACTCTAGTGAAAAACACGGCATTTATCTGGAGGATTTTTCCAGCCGTTACAAAGGGGCCCAATTGGGTTTGCTCGCTACTTTCTATCCCGAGACCACCTATCAGGATTGTAGCAAAGGGAGCTGGGAAATACCAGTCAGTCTGTACCTTTTTTGAAAAGTTAATTCACGGGATGCAGGTGATGCTGGTCAAACCAGTATTTGTTGCTCACTCCTATTTGCCCAGAGGGCAGTTACAAGTCAATAACATTGCTGTAGGTCTGGAGTCATGCATAGGCCAGACCAGGTAAAGACTTCAGATTTCCTTCCCTAAAGGACATTAGTGAACCAGATGGGTTTTTTCTTTATGACAATTGATCATAGTTACTCGGTCATCAATTGGATAGATTATTATTGATTTTAAATTTGACCATAAGCCACGGCAAGATTTAAAACCAGAATATTTAGGGTGGGGTTCTGCATTACTTGTCCAGTGGCATTACCACTGTACATCGTTGCTTCTCCAAATTTCGCACCAAAAACGTTAGGACCGTTCTAAGAGTGATAGATTTAGGTAAAAGTAGAAAAGGACTGTGGGCAATTCAAACAAAAACAGAAATTGCTGGAGAAACTCAGCAAGTCTGGTAGCTCTTCTTCAGAACTCTGTTGAGAATGCAGGTCAGTCATGATTTCACTGAGTGATAGAACAGGGTTGAGCGGCTGAATGGCCTGCTCCCGAAATAAGGCTCCTAGGCTTCCTGCAGTTCCAACCTTCACTAGTTCAGCGTCATTCTAGATTTGGAGACCCAACATTTATCTCCCCTCTATGTTTTATTTGCATGAAATCCCATCATCTCCCATGATCAGCAATGTTTAGTAATGCAAGAGAAAGCTATGCTCAATGATGGCATAGACAACATAAGGCTACAGCCTTACCTGCCATTCATTCCAACAGAGTTTGGGACCAAGACCCCTGATTTTGTTGATCCACATGAACAATTTAGACTTTAGTGCACAGAACATAATCTGTGCCACCTGCAATTTTGCAATTACGGTAAATTGTCAGGAAGACAGCAATAGACATCCTGAGGACAGACGGTTTAATGGAATGGGTGGGCGCATGACAGAAGAAACTTAAGACCGAAAAGTGTTTTTTTATATTTACTCGTTTGAGAGATGTGGGCGTCGCTGACTGACCAGCATTTATTGCCCGTCCCTAGTTGCCCCTTGAGAAGGTGGTGATGAGCTGCCTTCTTGAACCGCTGCAGTCCACCTGCTGTGGGTTGACCCACAGTGCCATTAGGGAGGCAATTCCAGGATTTTGACCCAGCCACAATGAAGGAACGGCGATACATTTCCAAATCAGGATGATGCGTGGCTTGGAGGGGAACTTCCAGGTGGTGGTGTTCCCATCTAACTGCTTCTAGATGGAAATGGTCATGAGTTTTAGAAAGAGCTGTCTAACGATCTTTTGGTGAATTTCCACAGTGCATCTTGTAAATAGTACACACTGCAGCTACTGAACATCATTGGTGGAGGGAGTGGATGCTTGTGGATGTAGTGCCAGTCAAGCGGGCTGCTTTGTCCTGGATGGTGTCAAGCTTCTTGAGTGTTGTTGGGGCTGCACCCATCCAGGCCAGTGGGGAGTATTCCATCACACTCCTGACTTGTGCCTTGTAGGTGGTGGACAGGCTTTGGGGAGTCAGGAGCTGAGTTTCTGGCCTGCTCTTGTAGCCACTGTGTTTAAATGGTGAGCCCAGTTGAGTTTCTGGTCAGTGATAACCCCCAGGATATTAATAGTGGGCGATTCAGTGATGGTAACACCATTGAATGTCAAGGAACAGTAGTTAGATTGTCTCTTATTAGAGATGGTCATAGCCTGATGTGAAGTGTGAAATGATTCACTGTGGTGGGAAGAATGAAGACAGGAAATTGTAAACACACAATTCTAAATGGTTGGTCAGGAGCAGAATGAGCTGGGGTTATACATGCACCGATTGTAGAAGATGGCAGAACCAAATGAGAAAGTGATAAATAAGATACACAGGTCTGCGAGTATCACTCTTGCAGAGAACCAACAGGCATATGTGATGTAAGGTGTGTGATATATTTTAATATCATTTGTTACTTATGTTTTTGAATTTTTGATCAAGTGGCATATGGGTTTCATGTGTATGTAAACAGGTTTAATGATTAAATTGTAAGTATTCCTGTAGACATGGTGATTTAAAACATAGTATTAGAGAGAAATTTCCTAGTGAATAATAGGGATTTCTTTCCATTGGGTCTCTTCACAAGCAAACAAACGAAACCATATGATGCATTAGGCTTTCAGTAGAAGATTCTGTAAATGTCAATTGTTTATTTATAGAAAAAGCTTCTGAGTTTTGGTTTGGTACAATTTTTTCAGAAGTGTTGGCTAAAGCTAGAAATGTAAAATATTGCTCCTGGGAAACAAGGTAGTTTTGGCCTGTTTTGAAAACGTTTACCACAGAGTAAGAAGTTTAGTTTCAAAGCTCCAGACCAGAAGTGTTTGGTTAATATCGTGAGGGGTTTTATTTGAAAGAGGCTATCACATTCTCAAGATGGGTACTTGAAGCCACAGTTAAGCTATCTTGATGTGAAAGAGAAGGAAATTCTCTCTGGTGTGTGTATTGTAAAGGAGTGATGTTAGGATTATTGGGATTATATTTTTGAAATTTTTAAAATTGTGCTGTTCATAAATAGTTTGGTTTATTCTATTTTATCTTAATTTCTTTTGCAAAATAAAGTTCTGTTGTTAAACTGGAATCTGCGGCATTGCATGCTTGTGTTTCAGTGGAAAAAACACTTTTTTCTTTTTAAAAAAAAGAGAGACCTATCAAGTCTGGTTTCAGTCTGGGATCTGACCTGTTCAGTCATATCAGCTGGAATCATAACAGGTATGATGGGCCAAATGGACTCATTCTGTGCTATAATCATCCGGTGATTGTTATGCAAATTATTTGGTGAATTCTGAGTTACCTCTGTGTCTGAGGTCTCTAGATCCAGGATTCAAGGATTTTGGGTTCCCTCTGTTCTCAATCTCTATTTTTCTAATTCCTTAGTGTTCTTTTTTGTTACTGTTACAAGAGTGACAGAGAATTGTTGTAATGTTCTTGTTTGGCTACACTGTAACAGATTGTCAGATTGGTTACTGCACTCTCTGTCAGGACAACACACTGTGAGATTATCATTCAGCAACACTGCAGGGTAACACTGTGCATCTTAATCCTGTATCTTTCTCTTTACAGAGTAAGGAAATTGGCCAACAAATGCACGAGGAGCTGCTGAAGGTCACCAATGAGCTGTACACTGTGAGTATCAGTCGTTAGAGCTGTGTATGCGGTGCATCATGTTGAGTTTGTGCTGCATCAGCTATTTCCTTTCTGGTCAATGTTTGGCGATTCTTAAAGTGACAATCGTTGTGCCTCATTTCATGCACAAAGCGTCTGAACCAATCCCAGGACAGGGATAGCCACAGCGTTAGATGCAGAGTAAAGCTCCTTCCACACTGAACCCGTGAAACACTCCCAGAACAGGAACAACTTGCAGGTGATGCACATTGCCGCTACTGTGCATCAGTAGTGGGGAGGCTGGGGTGCTAAACAATCAGGCTGCTTTGTCTTGAATGGTGTCAAGCTTGTCGGCTGTATTGGAGCTTCACTCATCTGAGCAAGTATTCCATCACATGCCTGACTTGTGCCTTTTTCATTCTTAATAGCACCAGCCTCCTGTCCCAATCAGCTGTTCCCTCCTGTCCTTCCGTCCAGGTGAAGATCGTGGCTGATCAGTTTGTGTTTCAAATTCTCCTTTCACCTCTACCTCCAAAAACCTAAGATATTTGTCATAAAAATATTCTCGAATCCCATCTTCACTGCCTTCTTAGGCAGAGAGTTCCAACGTCTCTCAACCCTGTGAGAGAAATAAACATTCTCTTAATCTCTGCCTTGAAAGGTCAACCCTGGGTTGTAAAACAGGAGAAAGCATCCTTTCCATGTCAACACCATTCAGAGTCTTACACATTTCAATCAAGACATCCTCACTCATCTTAAACTGCAGTGGAAACAAGGCTCGTCTGTCCAACATGTCCTCATAAAATAACCCAGTTGTTAATTGAAAAATAACCTAGTTAAACCTCCTCCAAACTGACATTCTTTTTTTTTTTATAATTCTCATGTGGGGGGGTGGGCATTCCTGGCTGGACCATCGTTTATTGCCCATCCCTAGGTGCCCTTGAGATGGTCGTGGTAATGAGCTGCTCTCTTGAACCGATGCAGTCCATGTGCTGTAGGTATATCCACAGTGCCATTAGAGAGGGAATTCCAGGATTTTGACCCAGCGGCAGTGAAGGAACGACAATATATTTACAAGTCAGGATGGGAAGTGGCTTGGAGGGGAACTTGAAGATAGTAGTAAAACTCTGCTTTTTCATTTGCCCTGTGAAAGGGAGCCACTTAACATTTTCCATGTTGTACTTCATCTGCCAGATTTTTGCCCACCTGATTTATTTCTATCCATATGTAACATTGTCGTCTTCACATAACACTTCGCTAACTATCTTGGTGTCGTCGACAAATTTAGCAACCAAACCTTCACTCACTTCATGTAAGTCTTTGATGTAAATGGTAAAAGGTTAAGACCCCAGCACAGACCCCTGTGGGACTACTTCCTCTGGTGCTGAATGAAGTCCGTCTGGTCCTGGAGACTTCTGAGTTTGCAGCTCCATCAGTTTTCATAGTACCGCTTCTGTCATGATTATAATTTCAACGGGTTCCTCTCTTCCTTCCACTCCCCCATTCTTCCTCTTTAGGGAACCAATAATCACATCACTTTTCTCCTTTTTAAGTGCCTTGTAGAAACTCTTGTCACATTGCTATCTAGCTTCTCCTCGCGTTGTATTTCTCCTGATTAACCTTTCAATCATACACTGCCATTCTTTATATTCTGATCAGTCATTTGAACTACCATTCAGCTTTGTGCAGTTAAATGCCTTTTCCTTCAGTTTAATGCTTCCCCTAACTTCTATATTTAACCACAGATGGTAGTCCTCTCTTTAGAACTTTACTGTATGGTAGGAATAGACTTAATCTCACAATTCTGAAATATCTCCTTAAATGTCACCACTGTATCACTATTGATCGATCTTCTAGCCTAGTGTGCCAGTTCACCTCAGCAGACTCAGCTTTCATGGTCATGTAGTTGTTCGTATTTAGGTTTAAAGTACTAGTCAGAGACAAATAGATTGAGAGAATCTCAAACCAATTGGACGCTCCTGTCCTCTCGATCCCCTTAACTGTCTCACCTATAGTCACACCCTGCTGTGCCTGACCATTAACCAAACGGGGCAGTTGCCAACAATGAATGCAAGACTGGAACTCTGCTAACAAAGCATTGGAGAGTAGAGAGGAAGGTAAAGATGCCGGGACAGACAGTCAGCGTCACTGAGAGGATCAGGTGAGATGGGGACCCTGACCCTGTCCAAAGCAGTGTGGTTGCCTCCTGGTGTAAAGTTTCCAGGTACCTTGCCGCCTCCTTGATGCATCATAGTGTCTGTAGTTGAGGCTGGTAAAATTTCAAACATTCATTGCAGATGTATTTGCCCTGGATCACAACAGTACGCAGAAGCTCCCACATACTGCAGCCTTGACACATTGCCTGAACAACTATCCAAAGTGGGTTTTTATTATATTATTCACCTTATGCTGTCTTTTATATATTCTATTAAGTATATGACCAATTCGTATGCTATGTTACAATTTAAGAAAAGAAATCATCTTAACATCTTACCAGTGACTCACCAAACTTCTTGCTCTGGAATAGAGCAAGATCAATTTTGTTCAGCTCCAATGAAGTTATCTCTGTCTCTGACAAACTTCACAGAGTACTCACACTCACCCGCTACCGTCTGTCACAGGGCCCCCACCCGCTCCGCTGAGTGACACTGTCACAGAGCCCCCACCCGCTCCCCTCGGCGACGCTGTCTGTCACAGGGCCCCCACCCGCTCCTCACCTTGCTCCTCTCTAATTCTTTGTTGGGAGAATTCCAGTGTCGCATTCCTCTTGTGTAACTCCCTGACAACACAGCCAAAGGCCTGGTGTCAGAGCGTGCCCCGGCCTCGCTATTCAGGTCTTCAGCAACATTCCCCAATGGGTCAGCCTGAATATTTGGGCTGGGGTCCCCAGATGCCAGTCAGGAATTACTAACATTTAAGGCAGCTCGCAGTGAGCACAAAACACGTGACATACAAGATCCTTCGCAACATTTAAAGATCTTCTGCATGAAGTAACTCTTGAAGGTGATGGACAGCATGTAATGAAGCTGCTTTCTTGATTGATTGGCAGGACAGTACCAAGATTGTTAGACTATGTAATCTCAATCCAGGGTCAATTGAAAGAGAACTCCTCAAACAGAAACCCATACGGTCAACATATTTATAGCCAGCCCCATGTCATTTCAAATAGAACTGATACCCCAGCATTTCAGAGAGAATATTGATCTGACTAACTGGTCAAGAGTGCCCCTGCCATCAGCAGTTGTATTGAGGAAGGGTGAATGTGTCACCGCACAGACTGCTGTAAACTCACGGGAGGGGGAATGAGACCATGTCATTACTGGGCCCACAGAGACAGCAAGATCTTGGAGCTGCATGAGGGAGAAATTGGGCTCCCCTGTAGCGTCAGTGTTAACTCCTCGATTGCAGCAGGCCAGGAGCAGGAACGTTGCAAAATGGAAGCAGCTCCCATTTCCCACTCCAGTGTTTCTCCAAATCTATCACTGCCCACTTTGGTGGTGGGCAGGATCCCCACTGAAGTCAGGATACCTCTTTAAGAAATGAAAATTGGGATTCTGTGCAGAAGTTGAGAAGTCTGTCATCAGTTGTTTAAGAGCTTGTTTAGACCATACCTAGAGTACTGTGTGCAGTTTTGGTTTCCGTATCTCAGGGAAGATATTATTGCCAAAGAGGGAGACCATAAAAGTTCACCAGACTTGTTCCCGGGATGGTGGGACTAACCTGGTGGGATTGAGCAAACTGGACCTGTATTCTCTAGAGTTGTGAAGAATGAAAAGTGATCTCATTGAGATTTACAAAACATTTAAGGGATAGATAGCATAGATGCAAGCAAGATGTTTCCCCTGGTTGGGGAGTCTAGAATTAGGGGACACAATTTAAAAACAAGGAGCTGCGTCTTAGAACCAAGATGAGCGTTTTTTTCTTTTTAGTTTGGAAGGTTGTGAACCTTTGAAATTCGCTATGACAGAGGGCTGTGGGAGCTCAGTCTTTGGGTGTGTTTAGGACAGAGATTGAGAGATTTCTGATTACCAGTGGTGGACAGAGTTACAAGGATGGGGTAGGTAAAATACATTAAAGCCGAGATTGCATTGGACATCAGGACAGACGCAATGGGCTGATTGGCCTATTCCTGTTCGTATGACTGTGTAAATCAGGTACAGATGGTTTCTGTTTCTCTTTCAATTGACCCTGCATTGAGATTACAGTCTGACAACTTTGGTACTGTGCTGTCAATCAATCAAGAAGGCAGCTTCATGACATGCTGTCCATCACCTTCAAGAATTACTTCATGCTGAAGATCTCTCAATGTTTTAAAAACTTTCCAGGTTATGTGTTTTGTGCTCACTGTGAGTTCCCTTCAAGGTGATAGTTGCAGCCAGCAGTTGACTGCTCCTCTAGTCCCCACATGAAGAGCGTTGCTCTATATCCTGCTCCCAGCCCCTGCTGCCACCTCCCGACCCCCTGATCTATATTGTTGCTGGCATGCAGCCTTCTTCTGATGTTTTCCAGATCACACTTGCCCCTCCCCTTTCCACTCTCCCCTCATTTTATCCTCCCACCCTTCCTCTTCGCACTCCTTCCCTGTCACACTTGCCCCTCCCTCTTGACCCCACTGTCCCTCTCTGCTTTGTCCCTCCCTCTTCATCCTTGCTCCCCCCTCTTTGTTCGCCATTCCCCTGCCCACTGTTCACACTCACCCCTTCCTGTCCCCCGTATGCCCCCTTTCTACACCCTCCCCACTCCCTTCCTCTCCACGATCACCTTTCCCCCTCTCCTCCACCCCGTCTTCATTACAGAGAAACAGCCATGTCCTCCACACATGGCCTAGTGGTTTGCCCTGGGACAGCCCAGTGCCTTGAGTGGATTGTGGTGTGGGTGCCCTGTGGGAGGTGCACTGAGCTCCATCAGGTGCAGAGGCTCCTTGAGTTTAGATGGCACACCCTGTGCCCATGTGTGCATCAGAGTTCCTCTCATAGCCCTTTAGGAAGAGGAAAGCTTTTGAACTCAATCCTTGTTTAGGAAATATCAGACTATGGAAACGTCCCCTATTCCCATTCAGATTCCCTATTGCCTCGCCCCCTCTAGCTCTGTATTCTCTGCCAAGTTCTGGGATCTCTGCCCTCCTCTACTACTGGTCTCTTGCATATCCGTCACTTTGTCCCTTTAACATTGGAAGCAGGGCTTTCAACCCTGGTCCTCAGCTCTGGGATTCCCTCCCTAAACCACTCCCTTTCCACTGTGACCAGCTTTGGTGACATGTCCCCGTACCACCTCCTGTGGGCTTGGTGACCAATTGTACCCATAATGCTGCTGTGAGACGCCTCGGTACCAATATTGGGGTGTGCTGATGGTGCAGCTTGGTGATTTGTTGTCTTCGCTGCCTGGCAGGTCATGAAGACGTACCACATGTACCATGCAGAGAGCATCAGTGCGGAGAGCAAACTGAAGGAGGCGGAAAAACAGGAAGAGAAGCAGTTCAGCAAATCGGGAGACATGAGCGTGAACTTGCTGCGACATGAGGACAGGCCTCAGCGCCGTAGCTCCGTCAGGAAGATCGAGAAGATGAAGGAGAAGGTATGGCGGAAGCAGCAGTCATTGCATAAGGTCAGAGGATGTAGACAGCATGGTTTCTAAAGGGTGGCACGGTGGCTCGGTGGTTGCACTGCTGCCTCACAGCGCCAGGGACCCGGGTTTGATTCCACCCTTGGACGACTGTATGGAGTTTGCACGTTCTCCCTGTGTCTGCGTGGGTTTCCTCCGGGTGCCCCGGTTTCCTCCCACAGTCCAAAGATGTGCAGGTTAGGTGGATTAGCCATGCTAAATTACCCTGTAGTATTCATGGATGTGTAGATTTAGGTGGGTTGTAGGAGTTTAATGAGTGGGATGCTCTGAGGGTCTGTATGGACATGTTGGGCCGAAGGGCCTGTTTCCACACTGTAGGGATTCTGTGAATTGATGTTTGGTGAAATGTGGACTTCACAGCATGGTACAAAGTGGTGGGCCTGTGGAATGAAGAGGCCTGTGATAGAAACGTAGAATATAGGAGCCGGGGAGGTGATGGCCTAGTGGTATTATCGCTGGACTGTTAATCCAGAGACCCAGATAACGTTCTGTGGACCTGGGTTCGAATCCTGCCGTGGCAGATGGTGGAATTTGAATTCAATAAATATCTGCAATTAAGAGTCTAATGATGACCATGAATCCTTTATTGATTGTTGGAAAAACCCATCAGGTTCACTAATGTCCTTTAGGGAAGGAAACTGCCATCCTTACCTGGTCTGGCCTACACGTGACTCCAGACCCACAGCAATGTGGTTGACTCTTAACCTCTGGGCAATTAGGGATGGGCAATAAATGCTGCCCTAGCCAGCGATGCCCTCATCCCATGAATGAATAAAGAGAAAAAAGGAGTAGGCCATTCAGCCCTTTGAGTCTACTTCAGCCATGATTGTATTGAGTGGTGATCATCCAACTCAGTACCCAGTTCCCACTTTCTTCCCACAGCCTTTGATCCCTTTAGCCCTAAGAGCTATATCTAACTCCTTCTGGAAAACATTGTGTTTTGGCCTCTGGGGCAGAGATTTCCACAGGCTCATCACTCTTTGGGTGAAGACATTTCCCTTATCTCTGTCCTAAATGGCCTACCCATTTCCTTAAACTGTGACTTCTGGTTATAAAGTTGTAGAGTCATACAGTACAGAAACAGACCCTTCAGTTCAACTTGTCCGTGCCGACAAAGTTTCCCAAACTAAACTTTAGTGCCTTTTGTCGGCGTTTGGCGCATATCCCTCTAACCCTTTCCTATTGACATACCTGTCCAAATGTCTTTTAAATATTGTAACTAGGCTCCCCTAGTCATTGGGAACATCCTTGTCTAGTCCTGCTCGAATGTTATCGGTTTCCTTGAGATTCCCCTCATTCTTCTAAACATCCCCCACTCTTGTTTTTATTTTAAAATTGTACTGTGTGACTTTATGTATCAATTTCCAAGGACAGACAGGTCTTGGTTTAACGTCTTGTGTGAATGCCAGCCTCTTAAATAACGCAGCACTCCCACAGTATTGCACTTAACATGTCAGCTTGCACATTCCACTCCATTCTGACCATCCGACTCGGGCAACTGAAAAGGGGAACCATACTCAAAGTTGCACATCTCAGAGCATGTAATAAATACTTGCATTTCCCACGGTTTCCTTTGTGTCGGACCCGGTGCTCCAGTCAGCTCTATCTGTGGTGCAGTTATTGTTCCCATTCAGACTGGTATTGGTGCCCCATGAACTGCAGGGCAGTGGATGACCAGCTGATTGGTTTTGGGTCCCGGTAGTCAAAAGGGGGGAATAATCCTCAGGATACTGGGAGAACTCCTTTCTCCCGGGCTTGGGTAGTGTTGATCAGGGTGGAGAGGGCCTCTCCTGAACAATGTGGCAGTGTCTCAGCGCGAGAATTGGAGTGACAGTCTGTATCACACCATTCCCTGTTGACCCTCGAACTCTGGCACTCTGACCCTCTGTTGGAGGAGGGGGTTGGAACAATCGAGGGCAAGGATTGGGGGTGGTGGAGGGTGGGGGCGGCGTCTGAAAGGTTTTTTGTGTTGTTTTTGCGTTCAGCTCCTTGACAGAAAGCAGATCAAGTGCATGCGTTTCCATGGAAACGGACATGCTCCGTCTGCCACTGTGTGTGCCAGTTTGAGAGTGTCAGATTATGGAGCACAACGGTGTCCCTGACTCCTGGCAAATGCCTGATTTACGCTGGCTATGATGAATGGAGCCTGTGAGGGATGTGCAATCAATTAGCACGCTGTCTCTTCAATCTGCCTTCAGACAGATCGGAAGAAAATGGCTGGTACCTCTGTTACAGCTTGGCTATAATAACCTCTCACCAATTTTCTGGTTCGTCTGAAGCACAGAGCAACCCTAAACGTTTGGTGTAGACAGATAATAATTTACCAGTCCCGATTTCAGAGTACGAACTAGCAAAGTGACGGTGTGTGTTGTTCTGAGCTCACACTTAAGTTGCATTTTCCCTACTCAAGAGCCCTGGTAAAGTTGACTCTAAAACTTTGCACATTACTCGTTGGAAATCCAGCTCGTTAAAGTCCCAGATCAGAAAATTAAAAACAAAATACATTACATTGGGTCGGGCGATCTCAATTTTCAATCATGTGTTGCTTTTGTGTGAACTTTAACCTTTCTGGCATGGTATTTTGGAAAAACAGTAAGCTAACAGCACAGTGTATTTTGAACGTTGTAAGTTAATTTACTTCCTTTGTCACTCCATGTTGACAGAAGTTGATCAAGTAAGCATACAGACATGAATTACATACCTCTGCCTGTATCTTCAAGGAGTCATGGAGACTCTGTCCACCTTCAAAAATGTCTGGATTTGGAAACTCCAACCCTATGTCCAACAGATCCCATTTTCATACAAGGGTAAAGAAAGTTACTGACACAAAACAAAAACCCAAACTCCACTGGGCCAGTTGTTGACAATTCCTGCAGTGAGGAAGCTACCCACAATTAGAGTGGACATAAATGCTGATGAAGGGCAGATAAAGTCTGTAGAACTGTGCAGCTATTAAACCCCCAGTCCTTTTTAAAAAGTACAAACAAAAGCCTGTCAGTGAGTTTTAAAACAAAATGTTCTAACAATTCCAAAAGCTGTTGACACTTCATCTAGGACATCAGTCTCAATTGTTTCCACAAACTGTAGTCATTTCAGTGGACAGTCCAATGCTCATTTTGTTTTTCACTGACCGCTCAAAGAGGTTATTGAAGGATTAAGTGTCTTTGATATGGGACTTTGAATACACATCTGTTTGTTTTACAGTGGAATTAAGTATTTGAGGGATTGTAAAGTTCTAAATGGGATTTCATGAATCAGGGTGTTGTTTTAATGTAGTAGATATTTGGAGCTTTATTTCAGTTCGCCTGCAAACTGTTCATGGAGGCTATTGGGTGAGTTGGCATTGGTAGGTGTGTCTGCGTTAACTTGGCTTGGGGACAATGGAGATGGGATGGGAGGTGGCTGAGGGTTTGCTGATGGGACGTGGGATGTGAGGAGTGACAGCTAGAGGGCCTAAAATTTACCAAAATAACGGGGATAAAGTGCTTTTGAGGTCTTTTAAACAGGATGGTTTGGCCCTTGGCAGGCCCTGTTACAGCTTCTGAACTGTGTCCAGGGCTACCAGCATCAATTTCTGAAGAAGGATCTAGGCCCGAAACGTCAGCCTTCCTGCTCCTCTGATGCTGCTGGGCCTGCTGTGTTCGTCCAGCTCTACGCCTTGTTATCTCAGATTCTCCAGCATCTGCAGTTCCTACTATCTCTCAACACCATCCCATTCATGTTTGCACTTCCCCCTCCTCCTTTAATAAGTTAATGGATCTATATAAATATAAGCTATTTCCTACCGTATGACACAAAGTGTGGTTAGTCAGCAGATTTGGCTAGACGAGTAAGTCTTTAAAACATTTATCGTTGGACAGTGAACTTTTTTTTGGGATTCTTTACTGTGGAATAACAAGACAAAGAAGTGGAATGTGCGAGTGTATTTAGATTATTGTGAGTGCAGAAGAGGCTAGATTTGATGCAACCAAATGGCTTGTTAAGATATTTTCCTGCAGAAAGAGATAACCACATAGGTGTAGGTTTGGAGTGTTACAGAAGCCAGACCAGGTAGACCAAAAGTTTCTTTCTATAAAGAACAGGAAGAGCCAGTTGGGTTTTAAGTCAGTACAACAACTTTACCTGAAACCATTTTCTTATTTAAAATGGAATTCCAATCTCAAAATGCCACAGTGGGGTTTGAAGTTATGTTCAAACTCCATTTTTCTTTTTTCTTAATTGATTCATGGGATGAGCGTGTTGCTGGCTGGACCTGCATTTATTGCCCATCCCTAATTGCCCAGATAAGAGTCAACCCCGTTGCTGTGCATCTGGAGTCACATGTAGGCCAGACCAGGTAAGGATGGAAGATTTCCTTCCCTAAAGGACATTTAGTGAGCTAGATGGGTTTTTTTCCCCTGAAAATCGGCAATGGTTTTATGGCCATCATTAGACTCTTATTTCAACCATCTGCCGTGGCAGGATTTGAACACAGCTCCCCAGAACATTACCCGAGTCTCTGGATTAGCAGTCTAGCAATAATATCACTGTGCCATCGCCATCACGTTGTCTGCATTACTAATCTGTGAGGATAACCCCCTGATAGCGGCATGCTGGACTGCCAAAGCATCGGTACCACCTTATTCTAGCAACTATCAGTTCTGAAGAAGGGTCACTGGATTCGAAACATTTAACTGCGCTTTCTATCCACAGATGCTGCCAGACCTGCTGAGTTTCCCCAGCAATCTCTTTCTTTGTTTGAGATATTTTCCATTCTTTGGCATTGTGGCATTGTGAATAAGTGGCTTAAAAGGGCTGGTGTGAGAGAAGTTGATTCCAGTTTGTGGGCCACCCACAGCATTACTGGGAGAAGTGGGGACTGAACTACACTTGGAACTGTAGAGTGTGACAGGATCCAGAAATGACCCTCAGACTAAAGGCACCTCCCAGTTAACAGTAACCACAATATGATT